GTGAGTAGCGGGTAGTCAGTAGTGGGTAGTGAATAGTGAGTAATGCGTAGTGAGTACTCTTTGGGGTTGGGGGTAGAGGTTGGGGTTAGGGTCAAGTTACCCCCCCGCCCGCAAGCCGTCTCGCTTACTCCCACCCGCCCTCCCAACACATACGTAGCACCCGAGTCTGGCCCGAGCCTCAGCATATGCAGCAGGCGTCTTTGGATGGGCAGCTACTGGGGGCCAATCCGCCGCCGCCGCCGCTGCCCGCCGCCGCCGCCGCCGCCGCCGCGCCGCCGCCGCCGCCGCCGCCGCCGCCGCCGCGCTGCCGCCGCCGCCGGCGCCGCCGGCGCCGCCGCCGCCGGCGCCGCCGCCGCCGCCGCCGCCCCCCGCTGCCTCACCGCCGCCGCAGCCGCAGCCGCTGCCGCCACCGCCGCCGCCGCCGCCGCCGCCGCCGCAGCCGCCGCCGCCGCCGCCGCCCCGCCCCCGGCGCCGCCGCTGCCGCCGCAGCCGCCGCAGCCGCCGCCGCCGCCGCCGCCGCCGCCGCCGCCGCCGCCGCCAAGTGTACTCTGTATTGTTTTTTGACAGGGATGGTGGGGGGGGGCCGCATCGGGTTGGCTGCGCATGTTCCGAATTTGGAGGCAGAGTGTGTTTTGTATTGTTTTTTTTACAAGGGATGGTGGGGGGGTGTTGGCATGGACTCGGGTTGGCCCCCAATCGCCTGGGGGAGGGGGTGTTTATTAATCGGGAGCAGTGATCAGGATTTTGGGTTAGGGTGAGGACTAGGGTTAGGGGTGGTGGGGGTCGGGTTTCGGAGTCAGGGGGCGGCGTGGCGAAAGGGGGGGAGGGGGGGGGGAGGTGCGGCCAAAGGGGGGGAGGGGGGGGGGTCCGGACCCCCCCCTCCCCTTTTGAAAGGGGGGGTTCCCGACGACGGACAGGAAAGGGGGGGGGGGGGGGGTCCCGACGACGGATCGGGGAAGGGGGGGAGGGGGGGGGTCCCCGACGGCGGATCGAGGAAAGTGTGGGGGGGGAAGGGTTCCCCCCCCACCCCCCGTCTTGGGGAGATCCAGCGGCGCGCCCTCTTGGATTTCCGGGCGATACTTACGCAGCGCAACTTGTTCATGAACATCGTGCGTTAACGTGGTTGCCCAAGTTCGTCCTGCGCGCAACGTCCGTCCCCTTGCAGCCCCCAGCTTCTCTTTTTTTCTTGCTTCGCTGTTTCAACTTCCTTAAACTTCTAGCTCCCCATGAATGTGGGTGGAGCTGGCCAGCCTTGATATTATTATTCGCAGTCTCTCGCCTCGGCCTTTTCGGCCTGCTGGTAGCCGTCGTCAAACATAAGGTTTCCCTGCCCCAGCCAGTAAAACAGATCATGGTTTATCTTGCAGTTTTGAAGTTTTTGGTCTCTTAAGAGGGGTTTCTTGGGCGGCTCGGAGGGCACTTGCAACAATCTTGGGACCGTTTTGAGGCCTCTTGGATGTTTGTCGGAGGCTATCTTGAGCCGCGTTGAGGTATCCTGAACAATCTTGGAATCATCTTTGACTTTTTGAGGTTTTTTTCGGACCGTCTTGGGCCATTTTGGGTTTCTTGCTTCCCGCGACCCCCCCCCTCCCAGGTACAGGGTACGGGAAGTGGGAGGGGCCGATGTTCCCCCATTCGCCCGCAAACCGTCCCGCTCACTCCCACGCTTGCCGTGTGCGCCGCGGGTTCCAGGTGCACCAGGCGCCGCGGAGGCCCAACCGAGCCAGACGCACCAGGTGCGGCACATAAGTAACGTTTTTGGAGTATGCTGCCCCCCCCGGCGTCCGTATGTAAAAGTGGTCGCGGGGCGTTTGTGCATGCTCCATATGCGGAGACAGGGTGGTTATGTATGTTTTTTTTGGCAGGGATGGGTGGCCTGCGCGCAGCGAGCAATACGACGGCACCCCCGCCGTCTCTTTCAAACACCAATGAAAAACGGTTGCGGGGCGCCCGCGCACGCTCCAGATGTAGAGGCACAACGCATGCATTTTTTTTGTGGCAGGGGTGGTTGGCAGGTGCGCAGCGAGCAATCTGATTGTACCCCCGCCCTTTTTTTGTTTTGTTTGTTTTTTTTTGTGTGTGTTTTTCCCCCCTTTCAACAACCCATGCAAAGTGGTCGCGGGGCGCCCGCGTATGCTCCGAATGTAGTTTGCATTGTTTTATGATATGGCCAGCTGGCCTGCGCGCAGCGAGCAGTAGGACGGCACCCCCGCCGTCCTTGTCAACAACCAGTGCAAAGTGGTCGCGGGGCGCCCGCGCATGCTCCATACGTAGAGGCACACAGCAGTCTGTATTGTTGTTCGACAAGGATAGGTGTGGGGGGAGGGGGGGGCACGCCGCGGGTTGGTCCAATCGGGTGGGGGAGGTGGTGCATACAATTGAGGAGCAGTGATCAAACCCTTCCTCCGAGCTGGGGAAGGAGAGGGTTTGACAGAGAGATGAGAAAGTTTGTGAAACCACCTACCTCCAGAGGGGATTTTGAGGGGGTCCCCTTTCTTATGCGAAGCCCTATTTCACTCACCTCGTCCGAGGGTTTTTTTTTTTCCCTCGCGTGTGTGTCTGGGCTGGGGGTACTGGTCAGGTGGCCTCGCGGGGCCTCCCGCGCGGCTGGATGTCCCAGGCTTCAGTTGGAGGGAGGGGGTTGGGCTTCGCATGGGCGCTACAGGGGTATGATGAGTGCCGAACCTATTTTAGACAAGTGGCAGTGGGTCTGACAAACTGTGAGCTCTTGGGGGACCGTCATCATCATCACCATCATCATCAACTTCATCATCATCATCACCATCATCATCATCATCTTCGTCATCATCGTTATCATCGTGTTATCTTCATCCTCATCCGCATCCGCATCCTCATCCTCATCTTCATCCTCACCGTCACCATCACCATCAACATCACCATCACCATCACCACCATCATCATCATCATCATCATCATCATCATCATCATCATCATCATCATCATCATCATCATCATCATCATCATCATCATCATCATCATCATCATCATCATCACCACCATCACCATCATCATCATCATCATCATCATCATCGTCATCATCATCATCGTCATCGTCGTCGTTATCATCATCATCATCACCACCACCACCATCATCATCATCAACATCACCATCACCATCATCATCATCATCATCATCATCATCATCATCATCATCATCATCATCATCATCATCATCATCATCGCCAGCTCTGCTCTGCCTTCTCATTCTCTCGTGTTACGGCTTTTCGCCGTCTCCACCCTCAGCAGCTGAGCGCTTCGAGGGGTCTTCTCTCAGTCGGTCGGTGGAAACGTGTTGCTTCGAAACTCGGTCTTGCCGCTCCTCCAGGCCCCCTCGTGGCCCCAAGCTCGGCGCATGATTGTGTATTGAATCTCGGTCTGGTGAATCGTGGCCCGTGGCTCCCTCGTACCTCCCTCGTGTGGGATGCCGTGGCCTCCTCGTGCCCCTCCCCCCTTCTCTTGTAGGGCGGGACCGGCAATTTTTTTTCCGCCTGGGCGACTCGTCTCCTCTTGCTTGTGCTCCGTTGCGTCTTCTTGTGAAGGGAGGATGTTCTGCACCCAGCACGGCTGTCGGTCCCCGTCGACGGCCCCGTCTGTGATGTTCCCAGGGAGGAGGGTGGCAGGGATGAGGGTGGCAGGGATGAGGGGTCAAGCGGCCGAAGGAGGAAGGGGTGGACAAGGGGGGCGGTGAGGAGGCGAGATGGCAAGGAGGAGCGGGTGGAGGGGCTTCGAGGGTGGGGACAAGAGGGGAGGGATCACGGGCATGGGGCGCGACGGGGGAACGGTGAAAAACAGGCTCAGGGGTTTGGGCGTGGAGTCCACTATCTCGCGCAGCTTATTCGTTCCTCCCGCCCTTACCCGTTTCGTGCGATCAAACTCCTCTCCAGGCTGAAGGGATTGCACACCCTCGTGTCAACGACGACGAGTGACGACGAGTGACGACGAGTGACGACGAGTGACAGCAATTGATGGCGAGTGACGACAAGTGAAAGCGCATGTGGGCAACTCGCGCCACTCGCGCCCACTCTTTGGCGTCTTGGACGCTGTGAAAACCGAAGAGGCGAATATTCCCAACGTGTGCGTTTTACGACGGGAGTGAGACGATTTGTGCCTCTTGAGGCCCTCTTGGGAGGCTTATTGGGGGTCGCTTTGGGCATCGGGGTGAGGCTTGTGGAACCGTCGTGGGGCCATCTTGTGCATCTTGGCGCGATCTTTTGGCGACTTGGCGATCTTGTGGAACCGTCGTGGGGCCCTCATTTGGGCCCTCTTGGCTAGTTTTGGGGCCATCGTGGCCCGTTTGGGCCATGCACTGGGGGGCGGGCAAGCGCTTGGCACAGGTGATATTCCACTCATGGTGCCACTCCCGACCTCGTATTCGGGCACGTTTTCTGTCTGGAAGGCCAACAGCGCAGGGACTGGGTAACAAAAATGAGCGCATCTTAGGCTCGATGCGTCTGGGGGCCTTCATTTTTGCTTCGCGAGCAGCGACAGGGCTCGACCACACACACACACACCTATCGCTGCAAGCGCGGTGGCAGATTCTCTGGGCGGGCCCGAATCCAGTTTACTTCATCCGTCTTGCTGCTTCATGTTTCTACCTACTTGGCTGGCCGCGCCGGCACACTCAAGTGAGAACTCTTCCACCTCTGAGTGGCCTTTTCTTCTCTTGCCTCCCCGCGGCCGCCTGCTCTGCCCTCTTCCACCCGTTGAATGCCGGCCATTTCGCTTTTCGGTGCCCCCCCCGTCTAGCTCTTGCGCTGGTGCAGCCAACTCTGCCTCGCCACCGACGCAAAACAGTTTCTGCCTACGTACTTCCTCCTCATGGGCCTGTTTTCCACCACCACCACCGTAAGTTGTAGGGGGGAAGGAGGAGGAGGAGGAGGAGGAGGAGGAGGAGGAGGAGGAGGAGGAGGGAGGAGGAGGAGGAGGAGGAGGAGGAGGCCGACACACGCCGCACGCTCGCCCGGCGGCGCCCCGCGCAG